AGCCCTCACTATTCCAGTAAGATGTAAACATGGTAAGGGCTCCAAGAAACCGATGTGGATGAACCGAGAGCTTCAGAATAACCTGTGGGAGAAAAAGGAAATGGAGGGAAGTGAAGGGAAGGTCAGACCTCTAAAGAGGAGTATATGAGAGTTACTAGGTACTGCAGATCAGCCATCAGAGAAACCAAAGCTTGGTATAAGTTGGGTCTGGCCAGGGGGACTCACTACAATAACAAAAACTTCTACAGATATGTGAGAAGGAAACGCAAGGTAAAAGAGGCAATTGGAACGCTTTTGGGAGTAGAAGGAGAAACTCTGATGGAGGACAGAGAAAAAGCAGACAGGCTTAATGACTTTTTTGTCTCTGTTTTCTCCCAGAAGAACTCAAGCCCATCTAGAGATCATATAGGACATAACAGGACACCTGAGTGTCCAGTTGACATTGACAGGGAGGTTGTGGAGGGGCACCTGGCTGCACTGGATGAATACAGATCCCCTGGGCCAGATGGTGTGCACCCAAGAGTGCTCAAAGAACTTTCTAAGGAACTTGTAGAGCCTCTGTCCATCATCTTCAAGGCCTCCTGGAGGACTAGGGATGTGCCACAAGATTGGAGGAGAGTGAATGTTATCCCAATCTTTAAGAAAGGGAAGAAAGATGACCCGGGAAACTACAGGCCAGTCATCCTGCCTTCTGTTGCTGGGAAGATATTAGAGCAGATTTTAAAGGGGTCAATCTGTAAGCGTCTGAAGGACCACTTAGTAATCCGGGGAAGTCAGCATGGTTTTGTCCCCAACAGATCTTGTCAGACCAACCTGGTTTCCTTCTTTGACCATGTGACGAGCTTACTGGATCGTGGGAACTCTGTTGATGTGATTTGCTTGGATTTCAGTAAAGCCTTTGATAAGGTTCCCCATGACATTCTGATGGGCAAACTGGAAGACTGTGGGCTGGACTATAGGACAGTTTGGTGAATAGGGAACTGGTTACAGGACCACACCCAAAGAGTGGTGGTCAATGGCGTTTCATCAGATTGGAGGGGTTCCGCAGGGCTTCGTTTTGGGCCCAGTACTTTTCAATATTTTTATCAATGATCTGGATGAAGGGGTAGAAGGGCTGGTCATTAAATTTGCTGATGATACCAAATTGGGAGGAGTAGCAAACACCCAAGAAGTTAGAGTTAAAATTCAACAAGACCTGAATACTGTGGAGAAGTGGGCAGTTGCAAACAGAATGCAATTCAACAAAGATAAATGCACAGTATTACATCTGGGCCACAAAAATGCCAAGCACAAATACTGGATGAGGGGTACGTTTCTGGGGAGTAGTGTATGCGAAAGAGATCTTGGGGTAAGAGTGGACTGTAAACTAAATATGAGCAATCAGTGTGATGTGGTGGCAATAAAGGCAAATTCAGCCTTGGGTTGTACTAAAAGGGCCATAGCATCTAAATTGCCAGAGGTCATAGCCCCTCTGTATACTGCCTTGGTCAGGCTGCATCTTGAGTACTGTGTGCAGTTCTGGAGGCCTCACTTCAAAAAGGATGTGGACAAAATTGAGAGGGTGCAGAAGAGAACGACGGGGATGATCAGGGGTCTGGAGACTGAGCCCTATGAGGAAAGGCTAAGGGTCTTGGGAATGTTTAGTTTGTAGAAGAGGAGATTGAGGGGGGACACAATTGCTCTCTTTAAATATTTAAAAGGCTGTCATTTGGAGGAGGGCAAGGAACTGTTCCAGTTGGCAGCAGAGGATAGGACCCAAAGCAACGGGTTTAAATTACATGCAGAACAGTATCAGCTGGATATTAGGAAAAACTTTTTCACGGTCAGAGTGGTTCAAAGGTGGAATCAGCTGCCTAGAGAGATGGGTAGCTCCCCTTCACTGACAGCTTTCTAAAGAGGCTGGACAAATATTTATCAGAGATGCTTTAGGCTGGTCCTGCATCGGGCAGGGGGTTGGACTAGATGGTCTGTATGGCCCCTTCCAACTCTATGATTCTATTTGCATCTGTAAGCACTTAAATATTTGAGGTCTGTGTTTGGGGTTTAATTACGCATCCCCTCACATCTTTCCTTCTTGGAAAGCTACAAAGTTGCAGCTGGGCTCCTGTGCATAGACAGAATGCAGTCTCAATTACTGAATATAAATGTGATTTCTACAGTGGAGGGCATGGTTTTCTTTAATTGCTTTTAAGATGTAGTTTACCAGTGCTCTGGATCCAGAAAAAATATTTTTAATGAAAATGAGGGTCCTTCAATTACTAAATTTTGAAATCACTTCAAGCACAAGGGAGTGCCTTCCTTGACCTCAGCTTGAAACAGCCCCCCCCCCCAAACGTCAGCAGATTCCTAGGCTTTGCATTTTGAACCAGGTAGTCTTAAATTTCATTGGCAGGGCCATTTGACAGTGAGCAGTTCATGGCTTATTAAAGTAACTTTAGTTACAAAGAATATACACTGCCAAGTTTGATAAATAAGGTTTCTTGCAAAGGCTACAACTTTTAAACTATTAGGAAAAACTCCCTGTTAAGTCAGTTAGATGACATCACATGGACAGAGTTTTCATTCTAGCTGAAACTACTACATTTTAGTTTCAGTTGTTTTCAAACAAATATTTAAATATATGCCCCCGGTCACACGGAAGGTTTTGGCCCGGGAGAGGGACGAATCGTGGGCGCAGCAAACGGGCGCGAGCACACAGCAAAATCTGGGAATCGGCATGCACCCGTCCCCGATCCGTCCCTTCAAGCCTAAAGCGCGCATCAAAAAAGAACCTGCAAAAGAGCAGGACTTACCTGGAACGCCGCAGCAAGCGCGGCCGTGGGATCGCCGGCGCACTCGTCTTCGGTAGCAATCCAAGCTCCCGGCCAAACTGCGCAAGTGCACACATGCGCAGTTCGGCTGCCTCGCTCTTTCTTCAGTGGCTTCCCCCTGGCATCTGATCGTGCCAGGGAGGAACTGCGCGGCGGCTCAGGGAATCTGTGTGAGCCCGCCACCGTGTGTCTCTTTTGGTGCGGCTTTCAAAACCCACACTTTGCCCGCAGCAATTTCCCCCCGTGTGGCAGGGGCCTATATATCTATTGTACTGAAATCAAACAGCCTTTAGAGTGCTTAATTTTTACTAGTTTGTTACCAGTAGGCAGGTGTGTGGGAATTTCCCTATGGGGCTGAATTTCTCAGCTGCTTGAGAAACAAAAGTCTGAGTTTGAGAAAATTTAGCTCAGTAGAAAAAGTTGTATTGCCTTCCAAATTATGGTGTTTCCAGGGTTCCTGGCAAACTGTTTCCAGTATACATAAATAGTGAAATACTGTATTACTCTTTGTTTTCTGTATTTTTTCTTTCAAATCTAAGTGCCCGCTATCCCTTCTTTATATTAGATCAGTGTTAATTTGGAGAGAATAATTATAATCCAATTATATTAATTCTGTGCTTATCTGTTTTTCAGGTAGTGCAGCTTTGACGATGTGAGCATAGGGTCATGAAAGTCTTGGTGGTTTGTAAACTGTAAGTTTTTACTTTTCATTCTTTTACAGAAAATAGTGTTATATCACTGAGAGCCCATTAAGTCCTACTTTATGAAATTTTCCACTCTTTTTAATTGTTTGGCTTGGCTTGGCTTGGCTTGGCTTGGCAGCGCTGAAGTGTCATTTAAAATACAGTAGAAAACATGGAAGTAATCTGAGAAAATCCTATGTCAGGGAATATTTCAGGATTAGAGATAGAATTCATAGGTAAATTGATGTTGTATACTCCTGTGTGATTTTTCAAAAGATGAGTTTGGGGAAGATGCTCCTTTTCAGAGCATATGGATTTCTCTTTATATTCTACTCAGTTTACATAACAATTTGGGGATTTACAAAAGCAGCATTTCCCTTTGAATCAAATCCTCAAACAGCTGGAAAGAGGTAGCATTTAAAAATATCTGTGGAAGAAAATTGGACATGCCTCCAGAACATATTCATTCTCCCTCTCCACCGCTGAATCTCGCACTATATGAGAAAAATGGATGATCAGTCAAAACAGCACTGTCTACAAAATGAGAAACTGATTGTGTTGGTTGGTGACTGGGGATGTATAAGAACAGCAAGCAGTGAATTTACTTGCACAAACCTGAAAGTCATTATTTTATCTGTTGCTGGCATTGTAAGACATGATGAGTTTGTGACATGTAATTTAGACATTCTGAGGGGTATTAAGAGTTATTTAATGACTTGATGACATAAGTGGCTACAAAGTGGTTAAGTGGTTGGATTATTATACAGTATGTGCATGGGTTTATGAATTACCTTGAGTCTTTTGATGTCTGCAAAAATTACCATTACTAAGGTGTGGAATGTTCGCTCTTGGTTACAAACATGGGACTGGCATAATTTACATGTGGTAGATGCAGTCAAATAATGTATTTGCTTTATTAAAAATTATGAGGAAAAATCATGAATGAGATGCACATTTGTGGCACCTTTTTTGATTCAACAATGCATTTACTGTTGTAAGTTTAAACATTTGCCTAAGTAATTCTTAATTTTAGGAATGACATTGAACCATAGGAGAAAACATACTGGTTTCTTTGAAACACATATTTGTTTACAATCTGTGCATGCAAAGGCATGCACTCGGTTGAAGCAATGATACAAACATTCAGGCTGAGTTTAGGGAGGAAGTGGAAGCAAATAATTGTTTTGGCAAAACTTTCACGTGTGACATGTTATTTCTGTGTAATAAAGCATTGTTCAGTGGATTTGTGATTAAGGGTGTTATTCTGTTTAGGATAGCACTGTTTTCTTAAAATGTTGCTTTCCTTTTTTCTTCCTGCTAACCAGCACTCACACATTTTATTGAATTGTTGAGTTGTGGAGATTTGTAATAAGATGTTGAAGCTGTTAGCATTTATCTTCTTCTTCTAAATGTATTTGATATAGTACAACTCAAGTACATTAGTTGTCAACCCTTACACTTTTTCAGCATGTTATAGGTTTACAGAATGGGTACATATGCATAATAAAGTACCAAACGTATGTGGACATTGTCATCTACTGTGGACAGAAAGTGGAGATGATTCCCTGAAAAATTAGTGTTACCCCACAGAGCAAACATGGCTTTTGCCCAGTCGCACATTATGACGGCTCGAAGGCATCAACACAGTAGACTCATAATTGAAGTGGATGAGTACAGCACAAACCCAACACAGGCGTTCACGTTCTACAACATTAATCAGGGACGTTTCCAGCCTCCACATGTGCAAATGTGAGTATTACTGTTATTGCCGTAGCACAGACTTCTGAATGGTTATTGCTGTGTCAATATAGCACTTGCTGTTCCAGTGAAAACAAGAATTTAGGAGAAGTAGGTATCTTTGTTAGTAGATGGAAGGGGAATGTTGGAATGTTCAACGGCTTCGGTAAAATAGCAGTAATTCTTGTTTTTTTACTGATTAATTATGCCATTGATGAGTAATCACGTAGCATTGCTCTTAATATCAAACTTGGATTTAGAACCAAAATATTTTCATTATTTTGCCAGAAATTCAAGAACTCTAGACTGACAGGAGAACAGCTGCAACAAATGAAATAGAATGGATAGCAGTCTCACAAATCCTTCTTCAGTACTGACAGTATGTGAAAGGCACAGGGTGAAGAGTAATTAAATTAATGTCTTTGGTTTTTGCTTTTTGTGCCTAATGAAAACATCTGTAAAGTTAATTGCTCTGAAAGGTGATTTACTTTTAATGTAAAGCTGAAGATCATTATGTTAAAATGAAACATGCTAATAAAGTTTAGAGGCAGAAAGGAAAGAAGGAAGCCAAATTAACCATTAAAATATACTGTAAAACACTTGGGTAGGAAATCAAAGGTATGTTTTGTTTTGTTAGAGATTACTCTTCCTCTCTGATACCAGAGAACATAAATTAATTTGACCAGCATTTACAAAACCCAAATATGTCAGGTGTCATTTGGGAGATTGTTTACATGCCAACTATATACAATGACCGATGAAGATTTATAATTAATTGTGGTTTAAAGATTGGGATTGTGCACACCTTGTTTTCTACTGCTCCTCTCTCTTACAGATATTTTCAAAACTGTTCTGTACTTGGGTTTTGATGATCCATGTTATGACTGTCTTCAACTTCCCTTAAAAGGAGCCAGGCCTAGGTGACTCATGCAGGTTGGGTGGTATTGTCACCCAGTGATTGCTGCGAGGCCACACCCAAAGAGTCCCTCCTCAAACCTTTCCTTAAAAGCTTCAGTGACCAATCTGCAGCTAATTTCCCTGTCGGGATAAGAAAGTCAAAGGACATTAAGATAAACAGAGCAGGGAGAAAATTCCCAAATAGCTAGTAATGGTTTGAAGATTGTCAATGGTTGCCCCAAGTTGATAACTATGGGGATTATACATTTGTGGTGCCAGCGTTATTGATTATTTTATTGTTTCCTTTGAATTGTTTGGCTTAATCTAATTTATTGGAACTGAATATCTGGGGGTGACCATCTCCCTTTTGTCCCAGGTAAAGCTAATTATCCATCTCGAGCTCTTGCAGTTTTGGCAAACTCATGGTAAACTTAGACCTTTGCACTGGAGCCAAACTATAGGGAAGAAGGCTGAAGAATTAAGAACCCATTCCAAAGCAATTTACCTTAAGACCTTGATCTCTACTTTGCAGTAATGCCTCAGATCTTCTAGACATTTTAAAGGATTTGATAGATTTATTTCAACCAATATATACATCTGATTGTTCAGCTAAAAGTTCTTTTGGTCTTCTATTGGGAAGCTTGTGGTTTGATGAAGATTGTATAGCATTCAAGCTTGCAAGATGTTATATGCACCGCCAGTTTAAAATCTGTAACTCAAGGCATATACTACGGTATCTACTTCTTCTGAGGTAGGAATATAAAGCTGTTGTTAAACAAAAAGAAGGCCTTGTGGCTGGAGTGGGATCGTTTACTTTGGGCTGCTAAGCTATTCAAAGGATTTATTGTGTTAGCCATAGATCAGTAAAATAGTATGATGAAATACATAAAGAAGTAAAACCTAAAATCACATACCTAAAATGAGAATGGGTTAAAATAGCCTACATGTTATAAGAATGGCCCCTATGGTGCCGCCCTGGCTTTAATCTTTTTGGCCGCAAGGGCAGAAAGGGAGACTATATAGGTTACAAACTCGTCGGTATCTGATAACAAGAATACAATCTTCTCATTTTCAAAATATGCTTTTATAGCAAATAAAATTCCTGTCAAGAATTTGTCTCTGGGTGCATTGTATAACGGACAGGCTAAGATACAGTGAGGGAGGTTTTCAATGGCAAGCGAACCATAAATACATATACTGTGGTCTGTTGGAACTTGAAGAACTTGACCCTCCCGCAATGCTGTGTACATTTTTTGAAAATGCAAGGCAGTAAAAGACACCCTGAGGTTATAGTTGGAAATATTATGTAGATAGGATGATCTAGAATGATCAGATTTGACAAATTTGTACCACGGAGCTGTTTTCAACTTTATGATAGCAGAGCGGTCTATCACAGCATCTGATTTGAATATCCATTCCCTGAGTTGGGAATTGTCGCCTGAGGCCCCAAGGAGTTCATCAGGTATGATGTATCTACCAAATATATTGCTAAAGGAATCAGAATGTGTAGGGTCTTTTGTTAATAACAATCTAACAGGTTGGTGGCTTAAAGAGTTAGATCTAGACAAATTGATCTTCTTCCAGCATTTTATAATTGCAAGGTGTACCCTTGCCTTAATAGAGGGGAGTCCTGTTTCTGCTCGCATCAAGGCCGCAGGAGATCCCCTGGGGAGACGTAAGATTCGTCTTAGGGAATAATTTTGGATTACCTCAAGGGTAGATATCCTCTTTCCAACCCCACACTTCCACTCCATATAATAAGTGGGGCACGACTTTGCACTTGAACAATTTCAGTGCTGGATCAATTAATCGCCCGCCCTTTGTGAAGAAGTGTTCAGTAGAACAAACAATCCTTCGTGCTGATGATTTAACCCCTCCCATGTGGGTTTTCCAATTCAGTGTTTCTTTAAAAATTACTCCTAGGTATTTAAATGAACTGCAGTGATCAATTGGGTTATCAAGAATACTCCAATGAGTATTAGATCACCTGCCAATAAAATTTGGGCTTCTGGATGTTCAAGAGTGAGGTCTGTAATAAAGTTATCTAATGCTCTCCAGTTTTCCTCAATGAGCGACTTTTTCGATAGGTGGGAGGTAAGCATTTACTATAATTATATTTCCCTTCGCCCATCTTACCAAAAAGGCCATGGCTAAGCGGTTCAAGGAGGGTTTCGATATGCACTGAGCATTAAGAGAGTTAGAAATAAAAATACCCAGCCCTTCCCTTAATCTTCCTGGGCCTTTATCTGGCATAACCGCTAAATTATAGGAGTAGTATCCATCTAAATGTAAGGTTTCCGCCAACCATGTCTCCTGTAGAATAATAATATCAAAGCCACGTTGAAAGAAAGGACCATCTATATACGAGTAGAGGCATCGCGACCACCCTGCTACATTCCAGGACAAAATTTCAAGTGGCTTCTTTGGGGAACCCTTATATTGCGGTGAAGATAGTCAGGGGCACTTTTCTCCAGCAAGTGGGGAGGAGGGCTCCGTTATCATGCAGACTTCAAGATTATCAGATGGAATAATCAAATTCGAGTAAGAGTTTCCTCTGTTGATTATTATAGTTGGTTCTAATGTTAGGCAATGTCTCCCGAATGGAGGAGAAATTCCTTCATCTACTGTCTTCCGTAATGTGGTGGTACAGACAATAGTCTGATTCTCTTCTGTTTAGCCAAAAAATATACTTTGCTTTCAGAAGGAGTTCTTTATGTAGTCTTAGAGTCAGAGAATCATATAGTTGGAAGGAACCTCCAGGGTCATCTAGTCCAACCCCCTCCACAAGGCAGAAGATTCACAAATACTTCCCCCCACACCCACACTGACCGCTGTTCCACACTCAGAAGATGACAAAAAAAACCCCAGGATCTCCAGCCAAACTGGCCTTGACAAAAATTGCTTCCTGATCACAAAGTGGTGATTAGCATTTCCCTGGGTGTGTAAGAAAGGGTCACAAGAACTAAGCACTGATGCAACCCTTCCTGCCCTCCCTCTCATGATCTGCCTAAGTTCACAGAATCAGCATTGCTGACAGATGGCCATCTAGAATCTGTTTGAAAACCTCCAAGAAAGAGGGCCCACCACCTCCTAAGGAAGCCTGTTCCACTGAGGAACTGCTCTAACTGTCAGGAAGTTCTTGCTAATGTTTAGCTAAAAACTCTTGATGAATTTCAACCCGTTGGTTCTGGTCTGACATTCTGGGGCAACAGAAAACAACTCTGCACATCCTCTATATGACAGCCCTTCAAGTACTTGAAGATGGTTATCATATCACCCCTCAGTCATCTCCTCTGCAGTCTAAACTGCAATTATGGGAGCGGTGGCGCAGGCAGTAAGTGCAGCCTGCATTAACATCTGGCCGAACAGCTTCGGCTGTTCGAGCCCCACCGCGGCCGGAGTGAGCTCCCGGCCTACGTCCCAGCTCCCGCCCACCCAGCGGTTCGAAAGCCCGTTAAAGGGCGATTAGATAAATGGGTACCTGTTAATAGAGCGGGGGGGCATCCGTCCCTTGTGTAGCGGTGGCGAAACGGTGAACGGCGGTGGCGGAAAGAATATGGCGGCTGGCGAGGCGAAAGGTGAACAAAGGAGGCCGGACCAACAAGCGTGGAGGCGGAGCGATGCAGGCCGGAGCCTACTTGGACGGAGGCCGCGAGCACGCGTGGAAGTGCGAGTGGTCCAGGCCCGGAAATGAATTCGCAACAGCCAGAAGGAGGAACCTCAAAGACCAGCGCTGGAGTGGACGCCGCCGGACTACCTCCCGCAAGGCAGTAACAATGAAGATCCGCTACACAGAAAAGGGTGCCTGGTAGGCTTGTCACGCCCCCTACATGTATGTGGCCCTAGGTTTAGGATTGTATGAATTGAAACATGTAAGCTGCTCCGAGCCCTTCGGGGGTGAGCGGGATATAAATTGAAATATAAATAAATAAATAAACATACACAGCTTCTTCAACCTTTCCTCATCAGACTTAGTCTCCAGACTCCTCACCATCTTCATTGCCCTCCTCTGGACATGTTCCAGCTTGTCTATATCCTTCTTAAATTGTGATGCCTCAAACTGAACACAATACTCTAGGTGAGGTCTAATCAGAGCAGAAGAAAGTGATACCATCACTTCGCATGATCTGGACACTATACTTCTGTTGATACAGCCCAAAATCACATTTATGGATCTTAAGGGAATATTTGTCAGCACCTCTAGATCAAGACTTTGGAACAAATGAAGGAAATTCACTATGGATAGATGACAACTATGGTTGATAGAAAAATCTTCATATCGGCCATAGTATTTAGGTCCATTGCAGTATAGAAGGAGATTTGTCTAAAAGCTTTTCTATTGACAAGGGAGTCTACCGGGGGTGCTTGTTAGCTCCATTCTTGTTCAACTTATATTTAAATTATTTATCTGGCTCCCTTGACAAAAATCGTCACCCTCGTCTTCCCAGCCTAGAGATCCCAGTCTTATTATATGCTGATGCTGCAGTTCTGCTGTCCCGCTCTTGTGTTGTACTCCAGAGACTATTGAACAAAATTTGCCATTTACTGCCATTCTGAAGATCTAGAAATTAATTATGGTAAATGTAAATTACTTCTCTTTCAGAAGAAAAGGAACCTTCCCTTATACCAATGGTATATCAACAAGTGAAGAAATTTACGTATCTGGGAATAATTTTCACATATAATTTGAGTTGGTCCTCTCATTGAAAAGCCATGCTGATGAAAGCAGCAGCTTGTACTGAAGACATCAGAAACTTTTTTAGATACTGTGGAGGATGATATATACCCAGGGCGATTTAATTTTTCAGTATGAGAATTGTCCCTATCTTGCTTTTCGGGGCAGCCATCTGCATCCAATCAGTCAAAGAATCCTCAGATCTCCCTCTACTTTGTTTCCTTTGTAAGTTAACCAACACACCAAAATGTGTAGCTGGAGTGTTCCTACAAGCAGAATTGGGTCAACCATCCTTGGAGGTTAAAGCTTGGCAATTGGCCTTCAGTTTGCACCTTAAAGTGCTCTATAGTAATTCCAAATACCTATCTTTATTAAAAGCAGATTCTTATAAATCCTCTTGGTCCAAGATTCTTGACACAAAAGTCTCTTATTGGACTAAATTCTGACATTATTCAGGCCCTGGAACCTGCAGTTGTTAAGTCCTATATCAAGAAGAATATCCAAGAAAGGGATTCCTTGAGCACATAGTCTCATGCCTGCAGGGTTTGCTCTTCTTTATTTTTTGGTATTCCACCACCAAAATCACTGCCTTTCCTATGCTTTTTATCTAACTATCCCAAGTTATTTTAGAGCTTTCTCCCCCCCCCCGGTTAAATAGTTTTATTTTATAACAACAAACATAAACAAAACATCAGCACACACAAACATAACAATACTAACACAAAATGGGAGAGTCTCTCCACCTTTTTAAATAAAACTGTTTTGTCAACCATACATCACTCATTATAAAATTCTACACCTAATGTTGTTAAAACATAACTTTGCACATTTTATTGTAAATGTTCTTATTGTCCTCTACTTTGGTTATATTTATGTTTTATTTATTATACCAAATCCAAAGCCTTTTATTGACATATAAATAAAGATTTTGTTGTTCAGTCGCACAGTCGAGTCCGACTCTTCGCGACTCCATGGACCAGCTCCCGCCAGGCCCTCCTGTCTTCCGTCGTCCTCTGAAGTTTGCTCAATTTCATGTTCGTTGCATCTATGACACTGTCTAACCATCTCATCCTTTGCCGTCCTCGTCTTCTTTGACCTTCAATCTTTCCCAGCATCAGGGTCTTCTCCAGTGAGTGCTCCCTTCTCATTTGGTGGCCAAAGTATTTGAGCTTCAGTTTCATTATCTGGCCTTCCAGGGAACAGTCAGGGTTGATTTCTTTTAGGATTGACTGATTTGATCTTCTTGCAGTCCAAGGGACTCTCAAGAGTCTTCTCCAGCACCAAAGAATCTATTCTTCGGCACTCGGCCTTCCTTATAGTCCAACTCTCGCAGCCATACATGACTACTGGGAATACCATTGCTTTGACCATGCGGACTTTTGTTGGCAGGGTATCATGCAGAGTAAAATTAAAATTGCACAGTAACGTCACAGAGTAACATCATAATAAAACCTAATTCATAATATCACTTATCAGGCCGTAGGACTATTTCAGTTATTTCTGTATCTGAATTATCGAGCAAGAAAAGGAGTTTAAAATCATCAGGAGTCTCTTAAAATTGGCCTAATATGGGATATAGAAGATCCCGACGGGACGCCAAATAGAGAGGGCACTGGAGGAGGACATGGGCAACAGTTTCAACACAGTATTTCTTACAAGGACAGCACCTGCTAGGATAGGGAGTCCCTTGGAATCTGCCAGATAAGACAGCTGAAGGAAGAACATTAAATCTAGCCAAGGATATGGCTCTATGCAAATTTGGAGCTATGAGTTGATAGAGGTATACTGCTGGAAGATTTGCATTAGGAACAATCCCCAGATCTAAGGGTGAACAGGTTCTGTTAGCCAGGCTATAAAGAGTTTGTAGCTCTGATCCCAATAAACTAGATTTTATTTTTAAAAAGGCCTCAGACTCAGAAAGCATATATAAGGATTCTAGGGACAAATTATTTATTATACTCTTCAATCCAATTGTAGAATCTTGGCCATGTTTCTTCAAAATTTTCCTCTCTGTGTCCTTTTTATTTTAGAGTATTCTTATTGTCTCGATTGAATGCACAGCCAGCTCTAGTTACAATACGAAGATTAAGAAAGATTCCTTACTCAGACCACCTTTGTTATTCTCAGCGGGAAATTAGTACTTTAATAAATATTTTCTTTGAGTGTCCTCTTTATATTAGTCTTAGAAATAGGTTTTTAATACAGTGCCTAGATAATTTTTCATCTTTATGTATTTATTTGTCTCATCACAAGCTAGTTTTACTCCTTTTATCTGACAGATTCCATAATATTGCCCTTGTTTTGCAAGATTTTTTCATTGGTTTAGTGTTGTGTCCAGATGATGCTACTTAGCAGACAGGTTGTTGATCGTTCAAGACTTTAAGTCAAGGTGCTTTAATTAGATTAAAGGAAAGGGAAAGGGGGAAAAGCTGTTGTTTTAAAATCTGTACAGTTAAAAAACAACCACCCAGGTGTATCCGGGTTGAAACTGGAGGGTTGAGAGGTATGGTAAATTGTGCTCACTCGAACTATATCATACATGATTAAAAAATTCTATATGTTAGGACCGCAAACAAGAAATCTACAAAATATGATGCATTTGATTTTATTTTGTAACCATGTCTCTCTAATGCTTTTCACATAGGGTGGATCCTGTACCACATGATGCTCCCAAGCCTCCAGGATACACACGATTTGTCTGTATATCTGATACTCATTCTAGAACAGATCCAATCCAAATGCCATATGGAGATGTCTTAATACATGCTGGTGATTTCACTGAACTGGGACTTCCTAGTGAAGTTAAAAAATTCAATGAGTGGTTAGGTGAGTATCATTACAAATAAATATGAAAATTAATTTCACTCAATAAATGTATAAAGCCACCACTCTGCTGAATGAACAGAAAAAAATCCTAAGGTATGGGAGGGTGTAATGATTCCTTGTTTAATATGTATGTGTGTCTCTTTAAAAGTTTGATTGCATGGCTGAGATATACTAGAGTGGTTGAAGAGACAAGAGTGGTGTGATTGGTGATTGACAGAGAGGGGGAGGGGTTTTGGAAGTGGTTCTGAGTGGATGAATAGGTATGTCTGTCAGGAGTGACAGTTACAAGTTTGACAGTTGATAAAGACAGTTGTTAAGAGTTCGTTCTGAGGTCTGTGAGAGAAGCGGTCTTGTGTGTAATATAAGAGTTTAGTTCTGTGTATGAAGGAAGTTAGAGAGAATAAGAAAAAAGTAAATGAAAGTTTAAATTGAAGACAAATTATAGGAAAGGCTGTATGTCCTGATATCTTGGAGAGAAACAGTGAACTTATAAGACCTTGAGTTAAAGTGTTACAAAGTTACCTGAAAGATCCCTGTCAGTAAGGGAGCAGATCTTATGTGAGACACCAAACAATTGTTCAAAATATTCACATTCCGAGTTACATTGTTATACCCTCTTATTTATGAATTATTTCAATAAATCCTCTTTTATTTAAGTATACCAGCTTTGAAAGAAATACTTTCTCAGTACCACATAGTTCCCCATAAGCCTTGAACTCAACCTACCTACCCAGTAATAGCAAAAGTAAAGTATAAAGGTTTGGAAAGCCTTACATTTCCTGGTGGCAGCTGGATATACCCTAGTAGAACAAAATAAAGAACACATTTAAAGGGAACCAGTCCTTCCCAGATAAGGGGTCGTCACAGAGGGGTATGGTCCTTCTCCTGGTGTTGCCTCCTAACACTCATAATGATGGGCTAGAAGTGCTCTAAATAAATAAAAGCAGTAAGTACATATGGAGTTTCCCTTTAGTCACCATGGCAATCTCCATGAATCTGTCTGATCCCCTTTTAAAGTTGTGTGTGTTCATGGCTAGTGATGTGGAATGGTATGGTATAGCCTGATCTCATCAGATCTCGGAAACTAATCCGGGTCCGTACTTGGATGGGGAACCACCAGGAAGACTGGAGGAAGGCAATGGCAAAATACCTCTGCTTCTCACTTCCCATGAAAGCCCTTTGCTGAGGTCGCCATAAGTTGGTTGCTACTTGTCATATGTTTGTGACCATCACTGCATCCACTAGAAGTGGATTCTACAATTTTCTTACATGTTGACTGAAGAAATACTTTCTGTTGTCTATCCTGAATTTGTTGCCCATAAAATTCAGTGGGTGCCCTGGAGTTCTAGGATTATGGGACAGGAGAAATAGATTATCATTGATCACTTCCTCCATCTCATGCATAGTTTTATAAACCTCTATTATGCCCCCCAGTCATCTTTTTTCCCCAGTTGAAAATCCCTAATCTTAGCCTTTCCTTATAGGTAAGTTGTTCCAGCCCCTTCATCATCTTGGTTGCACTCTTCTGCACTTTTTCCAGCTCAGTGATATCTTTTGAGATGAAGTGACCAAAAATATATACAATACTAGGAATAAGGCTCGTTGTGGAAATAAATACAACGAGCTCTAGAAAGAGGCTCTGGTAGAGTGCCCTGGCTTTGGGCACTCAGCGTCAATTTGCTGTGGTGACCTCAGCAGGGTATAATGAGACAGAATCCAGCATTTTCTCCAGAGGAACTAATCTCTGCTACCTGAAGAGCAGTTGTAATTCTGAGTGATCTCCAGTCCCCACCTGGAGATTGGCAAAAATGGTTCCACAGGAGGGAATGGCTGGTTTGGAGGGTGGAGTCTATGGCATTGTACCTGTCTGAGGTACCACCCCTCCTCAAACTCACCCTTTCCAGGCTCCACCCCTCAAATCTCCATGAATTTCCCAACCTGGAGTTCGCAACCCTATCTCCTTCCCAGCCAACCATCAACCTACCTTTATCTGCCCCTCTGACTTCAGCTTTAGGATAGACCATTCTAATAGTGCAGGTATGAGGAAATGTTTTAGGTTGGTCTGCCCCTAGAGGAAGATAAATGCATATGGCCCTTGGGGAGTTTCTTACAGATATAGCTAGTGCTCTTGCCCATGTCCTAATCAGTTTAAGGAATGGATGGGTGACCCAGCGGTTGACACGTTTTCAGAACTTTTGTGTCGTCCTGATGAACTCATGGAGCCATGTGCTTTATGGATGAACTTAAGGCAATTAAATCTATGGGTAGATTTATAGAAGGTTAATGGAGGAAAACTTGCAAACATAGAACAGAGAACAAATTGTGCCTTGTGACAATAATGGCAAGGAAGTCTTTTTACTTTACCCTCACCACCATTGCATCTGTGCAATATTGTGCAGTTTAACTGTACTGCAGGTATGTCCAACAGGTAGATCACGGAGGGGTCAGAGGTAGATCACCAGCCCCACTTGGTCTCCTGGTTTGCTGGACAGGTGTTTGGGTTTTTTTGATGATTGTTTAGTGGTATTTGATTATTGGTGCCAGTATGATGAATTCTTATTTTTACTTTTAGAACTGCATGTGTGGTTTTGGCATCATCCAGAGGTCTTCAATTCCTGTTGATCTTTTACACAAATAACTCTGAATAAAAGTTAAAGAAAGTTATTGAGACAGTTAAAGAAAGTTATAACTCAATAAAAAATGAAAAATGTTCGCAGTTCTTTCTGGATCTTCGTCTCTCTGTTTTGTTTTTGCTTATTTTGCTTACCAATAAATGACAGAAGGTGCATTATAAATGGGGGGGGGCGGTGGAACCCAACTTTAGTGGGTTAAAATCTAATTTGAAACTAATTTGAAACTTTATTTTCATGGTGGTAGATCACCTGCACCTTTGGCTGGAAAAAAATAGATCACTACCTGTTCGAAGTTGGACATGCCTGCTGTACTGGGTGGTGAGGAGGCTTTTGAGATTGACCTCTGGGAAATATGTTTTGTAATGGCTTAGACTGTTTTGTTATAGCAGATCAGTCTCCGAATGCTGCTGGAGTGCAGCCTCATGAGGTTTTCATAAAATTCAATTTTTGCAGCCCAAGGTTGTAGGCAAGTTGCTTGGGGGAGTTGCCCTACTGCATCTATGTCTATCTTGGCAGATAGCATCTAGCCACAAGGGGCAGCCTACTTTAAGTGGATGGAGTGATGAACGCTATGTTGAATTAGTGAATCATTCAGGCCACCTCCTTAAAAATCCCTTCTTTGACCCTGAAGACCCTATTCTAAGCCAGTGGTAAGATGCTTGAGGATGTGCAACTAAATAATTTTTGGAAGAAATGGATTATCTGGACCTGTTTCAGTTCAGGTGTGGTTTGGGACTGAAACTATTTTGGTCACCTTTGCCAGGAGAAAGACTCAGGGATTTTGTCCTTGTTGATTGTGGAGGATGACTTGATGTGCTTTTGAAACCACTGGAGGAGGTGGGGCTTCGGCGCATCAAGGCAGTCGACACCAGGAACTGCTCCTGGCTACTACTGATTCTTCATTCTTTTTAGGGGGGTTTCAGGGGATCGTGAACCCTACTGGACCTCCTAGAGGGAGGTCTGGAGCAAGGTACTTGATTCGGCCCCCTTGCTTGAGGCAACAAGTGGGTGGAAGCCCTGGATCGTCCCAGAAGCACGGAACAAAGAAGAGCAGGTTTGGAAGCCATAACCTGCACCAGATGTGAATGCCCCCAAGTAAGAGAGTTATTTTGAGCCTCATTCAGAACACTGATGAAGACACGCAACTGTGAGTACCTGTAATAGCAACAGGAATATTAAAGAGTATTATGATTTCTTCGAATAAGCCCCTTTAAATCTCCAAAATGATACAGAAAGGAGAGGTGGAATCCCCCCCGCACGAAGCAGCTGAGATGAGATAAGAGTCATTAAAATAATGTTGAGATAAACACTTACTGGGGCAAAGAGAGATCTCAGCCTCTACAAGAGAACTATAAATTTTTTTAAAAAGCAAGCAAGAAAGATATACAGCATGGAATTCACCGTCTTGCGACAACCCTTTGCGACGTCATGCTTTACTGCTGAGAACAGAATAGAAGCACATTCTGTTTTCTCTGCTGGGAACGGATCAGCTTGTTTTGTCTAGCGTTTCCAGTGAAGATCTAAGAATCTGATCTGTACTGAAGGAACGTTATTGACAATATTACTAAGCATGCTAAACTTTGAAAAGGTTAATGAGAATAAATAGCAGAGTCTGTGGACCTTGCTGGGACTTTTGATACAGCTTAAAATGCAGGGACAGGATTTAAAAAGAAAAATCAGATGGTGTACCCTTACAGAGCTCCTCAGAAATTAACCAGCTGCAGCTGTTTTGGGAGGAGCTTTGGGACATGATGGTGGACGCTGTTACCCTTGCATTAAAGGAAGCTTTAGAACCTGCAATGGACAAACTTGTTGTAACATTAACCCAAACTACAAATCAGATAAAGGACCTTCAGCAACGAACAAAGCTAGAAGAAGAGCAGCCCCAGGGCCAAATGATGCAAGCTGCAGGGAAATACTACGAACAACCTGATTCAACCAATGGAGAAAAGGATCTGCAGTACTCTTAAAATGCCAGACTCAGAACAAATTTACAGAAAAAACAACAGATCTACTAAAAGTCTGATAAATCTTGGAATTCTCAAAGCTATAATTTAAAGAGAAGATGAAGTAGAAGCTAAGAGCAACAGACCTACTAAAAGACTGTCAAATCTTGGAATCCTTAAAGCTATATCTCAAAAGGAAGATGAAGCAGAAGCTACGGGAATTTTAAACACCTTAAAAATGAACACAGATGGCGAATGCTAAAAGAAATCCCCGCTACCTATAAGGAAAAGAGGCACAGAATGATAATCTTATTGGGGAAAAAAGTTACAAAAAGAAGAAAAGAATTTGTTGTTGTTCAGTCGCACAGTCGAGTCCGACTCTTTGCGACCCCATGGACCAAATCACACCAGGCCTTCCTGT